TACAACAGACTTAATACATATTATAGTGGTGATATAATTGAAACTACAGGTTACAATTTGCAAGAAGAGCTGGCATTATCTTTTTATCAAAGGATATACTTTCTGAATAAAAAGTGACTCATGTGTGAGTAATCCTACAGGAGTTGTATAAGACTAGTTGGTGTTATCATCTCAGTATTACTGATAGGGATATGGGAGCCTAAGGCTACCTGCGAGTTTCTAGCAGAGCAGTATTTGGAGTTCCTGGATCACAGCTCAATTTTCACCCACTTTGCCCTGTACTAACCAGTGTATAAAGAATATATTAATATTTTGTAGACCTCGCCCTGATTTAACAAATGATGGTTTTGCGTGTGGTGGAGTTGAGAACACTAATCTGTGGTGGAGGGATGCCACCATAGCATTATATACTCAATCAGAACCAAGACACAAAATATCTACTTGGGCTTAGTATTGTTTAGGGTGTTCAGACTACAGCCTGAACTATTCTGTGCATGAACTTAAACTCATTTCAGTGTTTATTTAGACACTACTTTTAAACTTTTTTCTACCAAGTCTATTTTGCTACTGCGGACCCCTGTGGCCCCATCTACATTAGTAATGTAATGAAGAGCTGTTCAGCAGTGGAACTCTCTGCCTCAGAGTGCGGTGGAAGCGTCTTCCTTGGAAGCTTTTAAACTGAAGCTGGATGGTTATCTGTCAGGGATACTTTGAGCTTTTCCTGCATTGCAGGGGGTTGGATTAGATGGTCTATGTGGTCTCTTCCAACTCTACGATTCTATGAATCTATGATCCTATGAGGTTTGCATATGTCTACTTGTGCATTATATGGTCTATGTAAGGTAAAGATTTTCCCCTGACATTAAGTCTAGTCATGTCTGACTCTGGGGGATGGGGCTCATCTCCATTTCTAAGCCAAAAAGTTGGCATTGTGCATAGACACCTCCAAGGTCATGTGGCCAGCATGACTATATGGAGCGCTGTTACCTTCCTGCAGAAGCGGTACCTACTGATCACTTACTTTTGCATGTTTTTGAACTGATAGGTTGGCAGAAGCTGGGCCTAACAGCAGGAGCTCACCCTGCTCCCCAGATTTGAACTGCCAACCTTTAGGTCAGCAAGTTCAACAGCTCAGTGGTTTAACCCACTGTGCCACCAGGGGACCCTATTATATGATCTACAGGTGCCCATATAATGCAGTTTCAAACTGCTTTATATGGCAGTGTAGATGGGGCCCAAGACTTAACAAGATTTGAAATCCTAAAATCTCCAGACCAGCCTTTTGAGTCAAGTAACCCTTGCAATGCCACCACAGGTTAACAACTGGTCTAGGCAATTTGGGCTTTTTGTAAACCTGGCTTGATTCTTACTATGCAAGTAAGAAAAACTCAAAAACTCCCAACCCCAACTGTGTACAACGTATTTCTCTGCATCAAATTTTATTATGAAAATATAGCAATTGTAAAATCTGTTTGGGCTTTTAAGTGGGAAGGGAACCCTTGTTGCAGTGTTACTGTCAACTACATTTCAACATAGTTTATAATGGGTTTTAATAGTTTTGTTGCTCAATTGGATTTTTATGATTGTAATGGTTACTATTACTGTACTATATTATGAATCTATAATGTTGCATTTTACTGGTATTCATTAGTTATATTTGTACCACACTGGGAACTTGCATGGAATGGTTTATAAATAAATAAGAATCTGGTATAACAGCATGCTTGTTACATTATTCTTTTCTCTTTTTTCTGCATTCAGAATCAGCTCAGGATTAGTTCATGTCTTAAGAATCACATTATGTGTATGTGGCTTGTGACTACCTTTTTGGAACTTGGTGCTGTAGAATGACATGGGTCCTTCCCAGATGTTCTTCATGTTGCGTGCAAGATGTTTCCGTGTATGACATTTGCAATTGCAGTATCTTTGAGGAAGAAATTGCATATTTTAGGTCAGGAATTAGGAAAATGCATCTTTTCAAATGTTGTTGACTTGCTAGTTATACTATCTGGGACTGAAGAGGTTTATAATCTGATGATATCTTCCATCATTTCATCTCAAGAGCACTATGCAGACAACAAATAGGATAGGATTCCCTTTGCTCTGTATCTCCACCTGGTTTTGGTAGTATCTTGCCTAAGGAAGTGATCTGGAAAGTTTTCCCTTTCCTGTTTCATGGGCTTAATAAATGCAGTTTGAATTAGAATGTGCATTATTTTTTCTGTGGCTACCATGGCTGTCTTTGCACTTTGTATTAACTGTCCTAGCTTTTTAGAAACTCCCAAGCAAATCAACTTAAAGGCTCCTGTTAGTAAATGAACACGAAGGAAAGAAAAGTGCACTTATTGACTCTCTTCCCCCATTTGCTTCCTTTTTACAGCAGTATTTTATGGCTGCAAGGAAATTGCTTTGAATCCTTAGGCTTCATTACAATATATACAATGGGACACTGCATCACAAGTCATACTGTCCTCATCCTGTCCTGACATGAATTCAAAACAGTCTGTTTCTTTTTGTTCAAATATAAGGAAATTACTATTTCAACTAAATAATAGAAATGGACTCTGAAACCAAACTGTTATTTTTCAGAAGATAAAATCAGAAATATTGCAGTTCTCTGAAAATAAAATAAAATAAAATAGCAATTTTCAATCAACATTGTTGTGCAACATTTTTTTTTAAAAAAGTTGCCTTTTTTACTAGAGAGTTTTGCTATTAATCTGTTCCAGCTTTTCAAAAGAGGTATGGTGTTTAACTTATCCATAAAAATAAATTTCTATCCATTCCAGAACCCATTAATAATATGAGCACACTTTAACCATGAGTTCAGACAAAGTTAATGTCTGATTTAATTGCAATGACTCGATGATATGCAGTGCTGGGATTTATAGTTTGGTGAGGCATCAGCATGCTTTGACTGCCCCTATAATCACAAACTATAGCCCCCATGACCCCAGAGCATTGAGTTAAAGTGGATTCATTCTACAGTGCAGATGCACCCCAATGTTTTCTCTTCCCTTGCTGAATCACTGGTGTTTTAAAGAAGGAATTATAAGCATGCAGCCACTGTAATGTGTACCTTTTTGGTCAAAGTGCAAACAGTTGTGCCCACCTGGTCTAAACCAATTCTCCTTTCCTTCTTTCAAATAGGTAACTGATGGAGTTTCAGTTTTTTCAAGCTTTTGAGCTTGAGTTTTTCAGTTATGGACAACATTCTAAACGGTTTCAGAACCCGAAAGAGTGGTTTCCATGGCGCCCTGTTCAAAAATCATCACTGGTGGTCTGTTGTTCAGGTGCATCTTGGACGGATCAGGGACCGGGTTCAGCTCTTCTGTTTCAAAGACCCCTGAATCATATTCTGGTCTTCTGCTTTAGAGATCACCAACCTCATTCGAGCCTTGTGTTTCAGGTTAGAAACTCATTTGAAAGAGCCGGAGAAGCCATTATTTGCTTATATCTATCCCCTGGTTGAATCCCATCCCGCACATGTCTGGTCCCCATTACCTGACTGCCTTATGACTGATCAGGAATACACCTATGTTGTCTGGATCACATTTCAATTTCTTTGCTCTCATCCAGTCCATTCCTGCCAACAGACAAAATGTCAACAGAGAGAATTAATCTTGATGTGTTACAGTAGGCTATCCATTTCTTTTTCCCTCCTTCTTATTGTTATTTTATTTTTATTATCAGAATATACAATTACATTTTTTCCCAAAAATGAGAAAATAAAGAACCAATATCTATGACGGGAAAGTACATGGCATTTTAAAAAGGAATATGCATATATTTAACATCTTACTACAACTTATCCATACCATCATTAAGCATATTAGCATAACAATGAACATAACAATAACTTGCTACCCATCTACTTTTTAATCCTCCCCTCGTTAAACATATTATGCTTATAGATCTATTACAATTTTCCATCCATTTATGAATATTCTATTTTATTGTTATTCCCATACCCACCCCCTTTTTTGTGCCACCTTCACCTGGACCCACTTGTATTATTTAATTTTCCCCAAATTTAATTGTTTCTGTTGCTGGTTTGTTCCCCTTTCCTTCAGTGAATATATATTCAATAAATTTACCTCATATGTCCCAAAAATCTGTTTGCTTCCAAACACCCTTTTTAACTTGAATGTCACCAGTCATTTTGTTATTGCTATATTCCAAATTTCTCTATGCCATTCTTCTAAATGAATTTCTCTTTTATCTTTCCAGTTCTTTGCAACTATCAATATTGCTGCTGTTATTAAACTACAGGTCAATTCTTTGTCTTCTTGTGTAAGTATCATCTTATCATATATTGATAACAATGCTATTTCTGGTACATTTTTATCTCTATTTTTATTATTGCTCTTATTTCTTTAAAAGAAACTATTTCCCAGAATTTTAAAATAAATTTGCAAGACCACCACATGTGTATATATGCCTACTTCCTACTTCTTGGCAGTCTCTACAGCATTGATTATAATATTTCTTGTCTATCTCATTTAGTCTGACTTCGGTTAAATACCACCTCAAAATTATTTTATAATTGAGTTCCTTAATTCTTAAAGACATATTTTTAAGATACAAGTGTTCCATATTCTTTTTAATTCTTGAATATTTAGAGTTTTTCCTAAGTCTTTTTCCCATAATTGTAATTTTCCCCTCCTGTTTTATTTTTTAATCTCTTCTTCCTGATAACTAAATAACATTTCTGACTTGTTCCAATTAATTTCGAAACCTGTTATTTTCCCAATTCTTTTAAGCAATTTTAAATTTCCCCCACTGTTGTTCCCACAGTGGCTATCCATTTCTGTGGGTCAAGTAAGGCAAGGGGCCATTTGTCACAGGAAAAGATTTTGTTCAAACAAGGAGAAGGGTTTATCTATGTATCACAATGTTTTCGAAACAGAGGGGAGATTCCCATGTAAGAGAATGAATGCACATGTGCATAACTCCATAAATACAGGTTGCCTTGTTTCATTGTTCACAGATTTATCAGGATGGAGAAGTGGCTAAGACAGAGATTAGGCTTAGTTGAAGATAACTCGCCAGCTGCAGCCCAGCTAATCGGATTGGCTTCCATGCGTTTATGTGGTCTGATCCTTGCGGCAATTGGTTGGATCCTGTGCATTACTGCAACAGGAGCTGACGAATGGAGAGTGTGGCATACAACTAATGTGCCTGGCATCAGCACCGGAAAGCTCTGGGTTGGGATCTGGAGAGTCTGTTTCATGGTAGATCTTCATGATGGCGAGCCTATGAAGATGCATTGCCTGGAATTCCTGGAGCAATATGGGACCCTTCCAAAGGAAATTTTTATTGCACAGGACTTGATGTCTTTAGCTAGTGTTGTATTGGCCTTAGCTGTAGCTTTTATGTCTTTTGCTTTGTGGAATGTTTTGAAAAATGTAAGACAGAAACATGTTTTGCTTATTTTTTTCAGGGTTGGAGGTGTTCTAACTTTATTGTCTGGTCTCATCATTCTTCTCCCACTTTTGTGGAATATGTATTCTGTACTAGCAAATGATGGGATTGAGTTCCCCTATCCTTTTCATTTGCCTTATCTTCCATATGAGCAGACTGTTGGCTTTGCCATATATGTGGGTTTTTTTGCTTCAGGATTCCTGATGTCAAGTTCATTCTTTATTCTCAGTAAGAAATATCAGGTTACGTCCAATATAGTGCATCCTATCATCATGGTCACTCCAAAGCCATCGACCAGTACCAATGACACGGAAATCTGTCCCCATTGTGGATCATCTGTATCAGTTGATAAAATCTTATCTGAAGAACAGCATTTTAATGGTTAAAGGGCATATATGCAAGGGTGTTGATATTTTAAATGGTAGCTGTTTTTATTGTGTGCTGATCTCAAAAATTACATTGAGCCTTTTCTGTTTTTACTTTGTGTTAAAATATGTATAAACGTAGAATGAATTGTTACTAAATAAATAAAAATTAATTGTGGCTTTGTTTTGTTTTGATTTTTTTTCAAATGAGTGTAAGAGAGATAACTAAAAGTCCTATACTGTGGCCAAGTGCTTATGCTTTAGACCACTCTTTGCAAGGAACAAATATTATGTAGTCCTTCTCATGCTTTCCACATCACAAAACCCTTGCTCCTTTATTGTCTGCCACAGCAGGATAGAACTGGAGAAGATAATGGGAACACCCTAGCCATTTCCAGACAACGCAGGCCAAATCTATCAACTATCCTTGTAAAAGCTGAGAATATACTTTAGACTCAGCACTTGGAAATGATACTGTTCTTCAAATTCAGCTTCCAGACTCCTCCAGAAATCATGGCCATTGGTCATTCTGCCTTAGAGATTCTGGAAACTATAGTCCAAATGAATATCTTTCCCAGGTTGTGGCTTTAACACCCAGGTTCCATTGCAGTGGAAACGACAACAGCAGTAATTGATTTGAAGTGCAAGCAATTCTGTATGCTTGCATGCAGTTACTGATGTTTCAGTTGTCAAATCCCCAATGAACCCAAGGGCTCATATTGGGTGGTTGGGTTATTTGTGGGGAAGTTGGAGTAACATACAATGATTTTTATTTCAGAAGACATACAGAAATCCAGTAGCACCTTTGAGAACAATTGGTTTATTCTTTTATGAATATCTGTCTCTGTAATTACCTTAATCTTGCATCTCAAAAGACAACTGGTTTAAACCAGATGGATAAATAAAAATATTAGAGAATGAATAGGATGCCCTAGAGCAGTGTTTCTCAACATGGGGGTCAAAGCCCCTGGTGGGGGGGGGGGTTGTGAAGGGGTTTCAGAGAGGTCGCCAAAGACCATCAGAAAACATATATTTCTGATGGTTTTACTAACCCTTTTGGCAGAGAAGGCTGAAGGTCTCTCCACCTATAATTTTCTTCGTTTATGGATTCTGACGGCAAATCCTCCCACCAAAAGGCCTGCTTGACTGTGATTGGGGGACCTCTCAGTGAAGGGGAGGGCTGTTTCTGAGACTCCAAGCAGGGAGGGATGAGCAGGCATGTTCGGCGTGTGGCAGCATGGTGTGCATGTGCGAGCAAGGGAGAGTTGCGCCAACGAGTTCCTTCATTGCATGGGTGTTCTGTGTGCCAAGTTTGGTTCAATTCCATCATCGGTAGAGTTCAGTATGCTCTTTGATTGTAGGCTAACTATAAATCTCAGAAACTAAAACTCCCAAATGACAAAATCAACCCCCCCCCACCCCACCAGTATTTAAATTTGGGTGTATTGGGTATTTGTGCCAAATTTGGTCCAGTGAATGAAAATACAACCTGCATATCAGATTTATATTACAATTCATAACAGTAGCAAAATTACAGTAATAAAGTAGCAACAAAAATAATTTTGTTGTTGGGGTTTTCCTCAATATGAGGAACTGCATTAAGGGGTCGTGGCATTAGGAAGGTTGAGAAACACTGCCCTAGAGAGTACTATAAGCTACTTGAGGATACAGGCAGTCCCAAAATTATGAGCAAGATAGGTTCTGTCAGTTTGTTCTTAAGCTGAATCCGTTTATAAGTCGAAATAGGTACATTTTTCTTGGCAGAATTTGATGAGCCTTTAAGGCTGACAGAGTGTGACTTTTCTGACATCATCCAAGGGTTTTCAATGCCCGGATAGAGATTTGAGCTCTGCTCTCAGGAGTTGTAGTCAAATGCTCAATCTACTACATCAAGGTACTTCTACCTAGTTCTTAGTAGTCATCTATATAATCAGCAACTAAGTGTAATTGGGGAACTGTGTGGGTCTATGGCACTGGCATAGGAAAAGGTAAGTGACATACATGAATTGCACATACAAACATTACTGCTTTCATTCATAGACGGGAGGAAACTCTATCCAGATGAACTTATCTCAGAAAATCAGTGGGACGTTGAACTGTATCACTCAATATTTATAATCATTTACTATGCTGTCTGGGAGATACAAGGAAACATCTGGAGAGTGGTCTGCATCTACTTACTTAGTTTGGGTGTGGGTGGGTGGATTGCCTGATGATTTATGGCAATATCATGAATTTCATAGCATTTTTTCTAGGAAAAGACTACTAAGAAGTTGTTTCCTATGGCTCCTGGAATTCATTGGCAATTTCCCATGCAAGTACTAATCTGGGCTGCTTAACGTATCTTCCAAGATTAAACAGGATCAGGCACCTTTAAGGTATTTAGGCATGGCTGGGAGATATGAGTTCAAAAACCTGCTTCATGAAGTCTACTGTCTTATCCTTCGGTAATCACCATCTCTCAGTCTAACTCGTCTCCCAAAGCAAAAGAATCTTCTAGCATTTTTGTATCAGTGGTGCTACAAGATCCTTTAAAATACTGATCTTCCAGACTAACTTGGCTCTGGCCTCTCACTTGTTGTAAATACACTAAAGGAAGAAAAAATGACATTGGATTCCCTGGAACTAACAAATAATTGATCTAAACATATATGTTTATCACTATATATTCCCAGAATGGGAAGCAATGCAGAAAGAACAAACAAACTGATGGCATCTTCAAAGACTGACCCGTTTTATTCCTCATTGACTTTTGTGGCTTCTAACCACTTTGTCAGATGAAGGCACATGACGTAGGAGGCAGGAGTACACACATGCTTCTAGCAAATACATCTGGCTGTGTGCCATAAGGTTTTTCTCCCTGCTGCCCCTCCTTCATGCATGGTTCCTGGGAAAAGAGACCTAGGGGGTTTCGACCTGTCCTGACTTGATGGTTTAACAGAAATGCTGAACACAAGAAGGTAGAATTTCTCTGTGATATGACAGGGATCCTTTCCTTTCAACTGCTTGCCCAAGTTTGATCCAGCTCCATCATTGTTTGAGTCCACAGTGCTCTCTGGATGTAGGTGAACTGTAACTCCAAAATTCAAGGTCAATGCCCACCAAACCCTTCTAGTATTTTCTGCTGGTTGTGGAAATTCTGTGTGCCAAATTTGGTTCAATTCAATCGTTCAGAATGTTCTTTGATTGTAGGTAAACTATAAGTCCCAGCAACTACAACTCCCAAATGACAAAATCAATGCCCCCCAATTCCACCAGTATTCAAATGTGGGCGTACTAGGTATTTGTGCCAAATTTAGTCCAGTGAATGAAAATACTTATAGTCCTGCATATCAGATATTTATATTACAATTCATAACAGTAGCAAAATTACAGTTCTGAAGTAGCAAGGAAAAAAATTGTATAGTTGAGGGTCACCACAACATGAGGAACTATATTAAGGGGCTGCGGCATTTGAAAGGTTGAGAAACACTGCTCTATATAGTAAAAGTAAAGGTTGTCCCCTGACACTAAGTCCAGTCGTATCCGACTCTGAAGGTTGGTGGTCATCTCCATTCCTAAGCCAAAGAGCAAGCATTGTGCATAGACACCTCCAAGATCATGTGGCCAGCATGGCTTCATGGAGCGCCGTTACCTTCCCACTGGAGCGGTACCTATAGATCTACTCACATTTGTATGTTTTTGAAATGCTAGATTGGCAGAAGCTGGGGCTGACAGTGGAAGCTCATGCTGCTCCCCAGATTTGAACCTGATTTGAACCTTCGAACCTGATTCAAACCTGTGACCTTTCGGTCAACAAGCTCAGCAGCTAATACTAATACTAGCTAAGACTAACATGGACGACAGAAAAAGAGTATGTAAAGGAGGTCATGATAAAATGGGCCAGGGATCTAGGAAGATTGGTAAGTATGTCAGAGTGTTAAGAGATATGGTCAAAGAAATTAAAATATACTTATTCGACAGAGTTTAAGGAAAACTGGTACAAGAAATTCTATAGATGGTACCTAACACCAGAAAAACTGTCTAAAATTAACAAAGGTAGAACTAGTGAGAAATGTTGGAAATGTGGGGAACACTCAGATACATTCATACATATGTGGTGGAAGTTTAAAAAATGATGTATACAGACAAAGAACAAACTGGGAGAAATTTACAAAATTTATTAGAAAGGAAAATACAGATATTTATGTACAGGAGGTATAAAAGGGCCTCAACAGCCTAAAAGACAGAAGAAACTTGACGGCAGAAGAAGTGTAAGACCAACAGAAATAATTGAAATTACAATCCAGAGGAACCTGGAAGTCCTGCTCAAATAGGTTTCTTTTTTTCTTTTTTCCCTTTTCATTAGTTCTCTCTACCTATCCCCCCACCCCATTTCCTACTTTCCTGTCACCAATTGTTCCCAAACTTTTGCTGTACATATTTGCTTTAATTACTCTCTTTACTCCAGTCTTAATGGAGACATTTTATTCTAAATAAAAACAAATTTAGAAGTGCCCCAAGAAAGGAGGAAGGCAAAAGGAAACAATGATAGGGGGAGATATGCTCAATTAAACGCACAATTCCAGAGGTTAGCCAGAAGAGATAAGGAACTATTTTTAAACAAGCAATGCATGGAAGTGTAAGAAGACAACACAATAGGAAGGACAAGAGACCTCTTCCAGAAAATTACAAACACTGGAGGTAAATTTCAGGCAAAATGGGTGTGATAAAAAAAACAAAGATGGAAAGGACCTAACAGAAGCTGAAGAGATCAAGAGAAGGTGGCAAGACTATACAGAAGATCTGTATAGGAAGGATAATAATATTGAGGATAGTTTTGACAGTGTGGTGAGTGAACCAGACATCCTGAGGAGTGAGGCTGAATGGGCCTTAAGAAGCATTGCTAACAACAAGGCAGCAGGAGACGATGGGGTCCCAGCTGAACTGTTTAAAATCTTGAAAGAGGATACTGTCAAGGTGATGCATGCCATATGCCAGCAAATATGGAAAACACTAGAATGACCATCAGATTGGAAAAAATCAATTTATATCTCCATATCAAAAAAGGGAAATGCTAAAGACTGCTCAAACTTTTGTACAGTGGCCCTTATTTCTCATGCCAGTAAGGTAACGCTCAAGATCCTGCAAGGAAGACTCCAGCAATACATGGAGCAAGAGTTGCCAGATGTACAAGCTGGGTTTAGAAAAGGCAGAGGAATGAAAGACCAAGATTATGGCAACAAGACTGATTGATAACTGGCAAACAGAGGGAGAAAATGTGGAGGCCATGCCAGATTTTGTATTTCTAGGTGCAAAGATTACTGCAGAAGGAGACTGCAGCCAGGAAATCAGAAGATGTTTACTTCTTGGGAGGAGAGCAATGACCAATATCTTGATAAAATAGTGAAAAGTCAAGACATCACACTGGCAACGAAGATCTGCAGTCAAAGCAATGGTATTCCCAGAGGTGGCCCTAGGTAATTTTCAATGGTAAGCAAACAATATTTTGCCCCCCCCCCCAACCAATCATTGATATATATTTTCTGTTCATTGTGGGAGTTCTCTGTGCCATATTTGGTTCAATTCCATCATTGGTGGAGTTCAGAATGCTCTTTGATTGTAGGTGAACTCTACATCTCAGTAACTACAACTCGCATATGTCAAGGTCTATTTTCCCCCAAGAGCCCCTCAAGAGTGCCCCTGGGCAACATCAACTATACTGCAAATGCTTACTTTGCGTAATGGGTTGAGCCGCCCCTGGGTATTCCCCACAGTCACCTACGGATGTGAGAGCTGGACCTTAGGGAAGGCTGAGTGAAGGAAGATAGATGCTTTTGAACTGTGGTGTTGGAGGAAAGTTCTGAGAGTGCTTTGGACTGCGAGAAGATCCAACCAGTCCATACTTCAGGAAATAAAGCCTGACTGCTTATTGGAGGGAAGGATATTAGAGGCCAAGATGAAGTACTTTGGCCACATCATGAGAAGAAAGGAAAGCTTAGAGAAGACAACGATGCTGTGGAAAATGGAAGGAAAAAGGAAGAGGGCCCGACCAAGGGCAAGATGGATGGATGGCATCCTTGAAGTGACTGGCTTGACTCTGAAAGAGCTGGGGGTGGTGACAGCCGACAGGGAGCTCTGGAGTGGGCTGGCCTATGAGGTCATGAAGAGTTGGAAGTGACTGAATGAATTAACAACAATTTCATTGCTTATTGTTGTTTGCCCTCAAGTTATATCCAACTTCTCAGGACTTGCTCAAGGTCAGCCAGTGGGTTTTCACAACTGAATGGAGATTCAATCTCTGTTTTCCAGTCATAGTTGAACACTCAAACCATGAAAAGATACATTTAAAAAAAAACTAAGCTCAGCAGCTGAGCAGTTTAACCCACTGTGCCAGCGGGGGCTCCATATACGTCCCCCTTATTTCTGTCGAGAAATTACAGAAGGGAACCGAAGTGGTCAGTGTAGGTGTGCCCTCAGGCTCAGAGGGAGAGGGATTGGGGGGGGGGGGGGGTGATGAGGAGAGAACAAGTCTCGGCAGGAGGACCGGCCATAGGTCTGACAGGAGTGGGAGGGCAGCAGGGAAGGGGACTTCGAGGGGAGATCGGGGAGGGGTGGGCCTCGAAGGAGAGCTCCCCGACTCAAGGGTTGCTTTCCACTTGGCAAGGCAAACACGCAAGAAAGAGGTGCGGGCAAGCAGCAGGGACATGTTTGGGCGGGCGTTGGAGAGGATGCCACTCCGGCGCTGATTGAGGTCGGGCCATTCCCCGCCTGCTCTTCTCTCTCTCTCTCTCCTTTTCATCTGAGGCTGGGACTGGCAGCTCCCTCCGGGGGATTTAGCCGCGCCAGAGCCGCCCCCGCCTGATCCACTCTGCGCCACCCCGTGACTCCCTGCGTGGGGGATCAGCCAGGCATGGAGGCGCGCCTGGGCAGGGCTCGGGGAGGCGCGGGTCCCTCCTGAGGGTGGCTCGCTCTCCTTCTCCTCCTCCTCCTCCTTCTCCATGGCTTCCCCGCGGCTGGAGACCTTCTGCTGCCCGAACCGCGACGCGGCCACGCAGCTGGTGCTGTCCTTCCAGCCGGAGGTCTTCTGCGGGGTCTGCCTGGGCAGCGCGGGGGCCGGCCTCTGCTTCAGCCTCCTCCAGCTCCTCCCCAAGAAGGGCCGCGGCGGGGCCAGGAAGGGGCCCAAGGCCGCCGCCTCCGCCTCCTCCTCCGCTTCCTCTTCGGCCACCATCCTCCTCCTCATCTCCGCCTGCGACATGCTGGGCGCCCTGGGTAAGGAAAGAAGGCAGGAAGGCCGCCTTCGCTAGGGAGCTCCGTCTGCGGAGAACTCCGGAGCCCTCTCGCCCCATCACACGACTAGAGAAGGAACCCACTTTCAATCCGGCTGTTTAGGGAGGAGCCTTTAACATCTTCCCTAAACTACAAACCCCAGCATTCTGCAGGAGGCAGAAACCGGATTTTAAGTGGATTCATTGGGCAGGACCCAAGTCTAAACGTCCACATTTCCCTCCCTGTATACCTTTGTGCACAAAGTCGGGGCAAAACTGTTAATGCCCTTCCAGACAGGCCTTATATCCCAGGATCTGATTCCAGGTTTTCTGTTTATTCCGGATTATCTGACAGTGGGGACTCATATAATCCAGTTTAATGCTGAACACCTGGGATCAGATCCTAGGATATAGGGCCTGTCGGGAAGAGCCCTAAATGGCACGGTTTTTGTCCCTGGGTTATTGTTACTATTAATTATATTAATAATTTAAAAACCATTAATAATAATAATAATAATAATAATAATAATACATCTTTATATTCTGCTTTTCTCCCTAATGGGACCCAAAGAGACTCACAACATATTATTTATTATTTACTTGACTTGTATACCACTTTTCTTACCCCAGTGGGGGACTCAAAGCGGTTTCCAACATAATTATGGCAAAATGTAATGCCTCACATACAGAAACCTAAAATAAGGATAATAACATACAATTATCAGTTAAATTGGAGCCCCCGATGGCACAGTGGTTTAAACCACTGAGCTGCTAAACTTGTTAACCGAAATATCACAGGTTCAAATTTGGGGAGTGGCATGAGCTTCCACTGTCAGCCCCAGCTTCTGCCAACCTAGCAATTTGAAAACATGGAAATGTGAGTAGTTCAATAGGTACTGCTCCAGCAGGAAGGTAACGGCACTCCATGCGGTCATGCTGGCCAGATGACCTTGGAGGTGTCTACAGACAACACCAGCTTAGAAATGGAGATGAGCACCATCCCTCTGAGTCAGATACAACTGGACTTAATGTCAGGGGAAAACCTTTACCTTTACTATCAATTAAATCATAAAATACATCATTTCACATTAAAACAGGGAATTAAAAACACATCAATACAAACATTAAAATTGCACAATCCAACTATCTTAGTTCAGGCCATTCCAAATATCTATCTATTGTACATAATCCCTGATCATTTCTTGTACTGTTTACTCCCCAAAGGCTTGGTCCCATAGCCAAGTTTTTACTTTTCTTCTGAAGGCAAGAAGGAAGGGTGCTGATCTAATTTCATGGGGGAGGGGATTCCATAGATGAGGAGCCACCACTGAGAAGGCCCTATCTCTCGTTCCCATCAATCGCACCTGTGAGGGAGGTAGAACTGAGGGCAGGGCCTCCCTAGAACGTATTTATCTCCAAGATGGTTCATAGAGGGAAATATGGTCAGATAGGTAAGCTGAGCTGGAGGTGTTTAGGGCTTTACAGACTAAAGCCAGCTCAGTAGCAGACTGGTAGCCAGTGGAACTGGTGTAACAGGGAGGTTGTGTGCTCCCGGTACCCCACTCCAGTAAGTAATCTGCTGCTGCCCATTGGACCAATAGAAGCTTCCAAACAGTCTTTACAAGCAACCCCATGTAGAGTGCATTGCAGTAGTCTATATGGGATGTAACCAGAGCGTGGACTACCGTGGTCAAGTCTGACTTCCCAAGGTACGGGAGCAACTGCCGCGCAAGCTTTAGTTGTGCAAAAGCTCCTCTGATCACCACCAAGACCTGGGGTTCCAGGCTCAGCGATGAGTCCAGGAGAACTCCCAAACTGCTAACCTGTGTCTTCAGGGGGAGTGTGCCTCTTTCCAACACAATACAAATCAAAGCATAAAAATATAATACAAAATAAAATACAAGAGAATAATAACATCCAGAAATAAAATATAAATAAATATTAAGCATTTAAAACATTTGAAACCAATTACAATTATTGTGGAGACTCATCAATTAAATAGTATATCTTACTAAGCTCAGTGAAAATTGACCTTTCTGTTATTAGCAATGGATGCTGTCATTCGCAATTGAATGTCACTTCCTAATTAATTCTATCATCAAAACATGGATCAAGTTTATTAAAACTTGTTTTTGCAGGACATACTTCCTGCCGCACATGTTGCTCAATGAATATCTCCTAGAGTCGCAACCGATTCAGCATAGTTTGCAGCCACAAAAGCTAAGTTTCTGGAGTATAACAACTACTTTCAAATAAGCCTACCACTGCACAAACAGGAAATGAGGCTTTCAAACCAGGAACATATTATTCCCCAAATTTTGTTACATAGTGTAATTTTGCTCATCAAACAAAATTTGAGTCTGTTGAACCATCCCAAAGCAGAGGTGTCGCTTTCTCAGCCATTTCCAGATTTACGACATTGATTTAGGTTTCCTGTACACCTTGTCTGCATCCCCAGAAGAGAACTTCGTATGCAATATTGTTATTCATTTTGCTCATGTAACAAAGTTTGTGTATGTTGAACCATCCAATAGCAAAGGTGTCACTCTTTCAGCCGCCCTTGTGGACAATTTTACCTTTTGGAGTATTTCCAGTTTCTGGATCAGGGATGCTCAAATTGAAGGAAGGCTTTTTTCCCCTTGTCAGGAGCGACTTGAGAAACTGCAAGTTGCTTCCGGCATGAGAAAATTGGCCACCTGCAAGGGCATTGCCCGGGGGATGCCTGGATGTTTTACCATCCTGTGGGAGGCTTCTTTCATGCCCCCACATGAGAAGCTGGAGTTGACAGGTGGGAGCTCACCTCACTCCCTGGAGCTGAACCACTGACCTTTCGGTCAATAGTCCTGCTGGCACAAGGGTTTAACCCATTGCACCATTGGGGGCTCCTGAAGGAAAGACTGATAAGTAGGGAAGGAAGTCCTACATCCATTTGCTAGACCCCACAAAAGAATGCATTGATTGATTTATGAAAAGATGTCTAGCTTGGCATCTCAATGCAGGATACAATATAAATACAACAAAGTATCAGTTATCCAGAAATCCAGCATGTTCCAAAACCGTCCACTCAGGTGGCTGAGAGAGTGGCATCTTTGCTTTCTGATGGTTCAATGATACACAAACTTTGTTTCACGCATATCATTATTCAAAATATTGTGTATAAAACTAGCCCAAGCCTTCATGCATAAGGTGTATATGAAACTTTAATTAATGTTGTGTTTCTATTTGGGTCCCATTGCCAAGATAGCTTATTATGTATATATCAGTATCTCAAAATCTGGTGGAGGGGTTGTGTGAAAAGCCATCCCATTGAATCAAGACTAGTCTCATTGCTTGATTTAGTGGGATGTACATACCACCCAACTGAGCACCTCTCAATTGGGTTTAGGAGAATGAGGAGGAATTTTGATAATTTGTTTGTAGTCAGTGCATTAAGATTCAGACATTTCAATCCGATTGTATCCTTGCTGTTTGAGTCGAAGTAAATCCACTGAGCCCAATGCAGCTTGTTTCTAGACAGGGCACTATGGTATTACTGGCTTGTTGTAAGTTTTTCAGCATCAGAGGATCAGAAAATGCCCACCATAGGTGCAGGTGAAACATCAGGAGAGAATGCTTCTGGAACATGGCCATACAGCCTGAAAAACTTACAACAACCCAGTGATTCTGGCCATGAAAGCCTTTGACAATGCTATGGTGTTACATTCTTAAAAAGCTGAACACATTCTCTTTCAGAAAGTAGCAAATCATGAGGATTTTTAAGCATCAAAACCAATCCATCCTTTATGGTAAAATTTTGTATTTAGAGAAATAATATAAATATATAGCTCTATGTCTGGGAATTTAACATGCTTCCTGTGTTCCATTTATTTTCCTTATTATGTTGTCGCAGAAGGGTATTAAGTCAAGCCTCTTGGTATGAATGGAATTGCTAAGCCCTTCTTTCGGGCTTTACAGTCAAACCGTGTTTTTCACTCTGGTATTCTACAGTTGTATATCAAATATAAACTAGAGAGTGGGCTGTGCTAATTCTAACGGTAACTATAATAAATGTAAAAACATTTATAAAGGAAATGGGGCATCTGTTTGAAGGTAAAAAGGGAATATGATAGTTACTTGGCACATTTTAGATGGACTTTATTCCAGTTTTAGGGGTCCTGTAGGACATAGTGCTTTAAGGGTAGAACTATGACTCTGAAAAAGTAGTTTTCAAATCCTCATTCAGCCATGCAAACTTACTGGGTGTAAAGGTAAGGTAAAGGTAGTCCCCTGACATGAAGTCCAGTCATGTCTGACTCTGGGGTGTGGTGCTCATCTCCATTTCTAAGCCGAAGAGCCAGCGTTGTCCGCAGACACCTCCACGGTCATGTGGCCGGCATGACTGCATGGAGCGCCGTTACCTTCCCGCCGGAGCGGTACCTATTGATCTACTCACATTTGCATGTTTTCGAACTGCTAGGTTGGCAGAAGCTAGGGCTGACAGCGGAAGCTCATGCCGCTCCCCGGAATCGAACCTGCGACCTTTCGATCAACAAGCTCAGCAGCTCAGTGCTTTAACCCACTGCGCCACCGGGGTGATCTTGGGCAAATTACTGGGTGACCTTGGGCAAATTTCACACTTTTATGACCTCATCGGATGGGCTTTTTTTGTGTGTGTGGGCATATGCCAATTCAGCTATAGTTTAGCCACAGCACCAGCTGGCTCCAATCCTACAATGTAAAACTTCTTCCAGTGGGACTCCATAGCTAAAGTACAGCGGAACCAACATATGCCGCAGCAGCGCCAACATGGGAGGCTTCTATGTTGCGCCAACAATGGGGGTGGGTGGGGTGAACGGTGCAGCCAATGCATGGGATGGATTATGAGTCAGTCAGGTGATGCAGGGCTTGGGGCAGTGGATTCTCCACGCCCGCTGGCGGGCACCACCGGATTCACCACGATCTGTGGCAATTCCGGCAGCTAGTATGATAAGGTCACAAGCCTCAGAAAACCCTGTGTCACCACTAGGGTCACCACAAATAAGAAAAAAATTGAAGGCACACAACAGTAACAAGAAATTATATATGCATGCTGCAAATACAAACACCATGCTTCAAATACACACATTATGTGTTGCCTTTTCAGGATTCAGTTCCTAAAGAAGCTTACCATTCACAAAGAAGTGGGAAAGCTGTGGCTTACTAGATTTTTTCAACTGCAGCATCAATTGGCCCTAGACAGAACAATCAAAGGGAGCTGCAGTCTAGAAATATCTGACATTCCATATGTTAATACATTAATGGGAAAGAAGTAAATTACATGTTATATGTGTGCTCAGCCCCTTCCTATGTGTATGCCTAATAGCAGACTCTATTCCTACTAAATGAGAGTTAGTGTGGTGTAGTGGTTTGAATGTTGAAATAGGACTCTGGAGACATGGTTCAGCCCTGGAAAAGGCACACTCTGAAAGCCTCAGAGGAAGGCAATGACAAAACACCTCTGAACAAATATTGTTTTAAAAATCCCCTGCAATATTGTTGTCATAGGGTCACGGTAAGTTAGAAGCTGTGTGAAGGCACAAAGCAATTACAACAGTACATCAAAGACTACATCTCTGAATATCAAAGTTTGATTCCCTTTTGGCCATGGAAATCTATTGGGTGATCTTGAGTGCGTCACTCACACTCAGCCCCATAAGAACTCGTAATAGGATCACCTTGGGGTGGCCATAAGCCAGAAACGACTTGAAGACATACAAAACTGATGTTAAAAAATAACCTATGGATTTGTATGTTCCCTCACTTGTGTGTTATGATTCTTTCCCTGATTTTATGGTCTGCAAGAAAGTCAAATTAGTCATAGCTGTGTTAGAGTTGGTTCTTGACCAACTCATAATATGAAATTCTGTTTTGGAGTACAGGTGCAAACTATAGTTTTACAGTTATTTTCATTATATAAGAAACCACTCATAAACATATTCCATTCTTACACTCCTTATATCCACCTCACAACTTATGGTACCAGTAGTTATTTGTTTGGCGCTGGATATAACATCCTTAATTGGCCAGATATTATTGTTAATGCTGTATTCCCAGGGATCTTCCACACTTGGCACAAAATGTGGCTCAAAGTGCCACAAAATATCAGTTCTGAGCCATGTGTTATCCCCACATGGCTGCGATATGTGCCAGTGGTAGGAGTCTGACCACATAGTCCAGCTGTGCCAATGCCAGTTTGGCACAAGTAGGCATGGGCACAGCCTCTGTACCTTTCTGCACCCTGCTCCCTCAATGAAGGAAAGCCTCCTTACTGTTCCATGTCAGTGGATTTTTTTTTGTCATGTCAGGAGCAACTTGAGAAACTGCAAATCACTTCTGGTGTTAGAAAACTGGCCGTCTGCAAGAAGGTTGCCCAGGGGACGCCCAGATGTTTTGATGTTTTATCATCCTTGTGGGAGGCTTCTCTCATGTCCCCGCTTGGGGAGCTGGAGCTGACAGAGGGAGCTCATCCACGCTCTCCCTAGATTCGAACCTGCGACCTGTCGGTCTTCAGTCCTGCCGGCACAGGGGTTTAACCTACTGCGCCACTGCGGGCTCCTGTCAGTGGATCACATCATGAGGAAGTGGTGGAGCTTTTGAGCAGGAAGCCCTCCATCTCCTGCAACCTCCATCATGAGTTTAGGATGGCTGCAAAGATATAATTTCACAGCCCTCTCCCCAGTATTTATTTAAGCTGGGGTCACGCTTGATGAAACTATTTACCCTGGGTTAAAAACACATTAACCTGGGTGCATCATTTGGATGCCCCAGGCATTATCTGGCAGTGTAGATGCAGCCCCTGAACACAATAGGGTCTTCTTCTGCGTAAAAAGGCTTGAGAGCACTATCAAAACATACTATATTAACCAAAATGGAAATAAATGAGGTTATGTATTTAGACATGAATGAATCTATGCACAATTTGCAAATTTATTTTCACACATAGCACACATACCTATTGTATGTCCTATATTGTAGAACTTTTATTATAATATTCACTTGGCTGGAAGGTAGCTCATCCTTTCTTTTTGCCAGGTAATATGAAATGAACCTGGTTAGGAGACATTGCAGAATCTGTCTCTAGAGACCATCAATTGAAAATATGAGTCCATGACATCTTCAGTCTTCAATTGACCGAATGTTGGATTCGGTTGAAACTATTCTGTTTCCAGTCTCCAAGTGGTCTCAGTTCATGAATGAACTCCATAGTTGTATCTTCAGTCATGCACATGACCTGACAACAATTCAAAGATCGAGCCTGCAGGAAAGCATGTGATTCTCCAAGCTTGGGAACTCCATGCCCTACCTTTGACTCCAGCCTAAGAGCATAGCATACAAAGGCATACAAATCCAGCTGATTCGAAGATCAACCCTTCCACTTGCCTGGAGCAATAAACGCATTTCTTCTAGTCTTGTGCAAAGTTGCTCAGAATTTATCTAATTGTTGTAATTGTTCTTAATTTTTTAAATTGATATTTTCTACAATGTACATTAGGGAGTGGGAGGGAGGGGTAAAACTTATTCAAGTTATTGTTAGTAGTTTAATACGCTTTCACACATCATCATCATCATCATCACTGAAAGGGGAAATGTGAAGGGAAAGTAAACAGAAAAAATATAACATATTATGTAACATCCAAGTTTTTAGTCTCTATTACCTTGACATCCATTATTTAAACTACTAAAGTTTTTGAAAATTCAGTGTTTCTTCTGTATGAAGGAGGGATCTTGTTGTTCTTTAAATCTACTGTTCATCTAGCAAAGCATCTCATGTACCAACCGGAACACTGCATATAATTTGAGAACACAGAAATGCTGGACTATTCTAACAACTACCATGTCAGACAACACAGAGAAGCCGTTGAAATCCACAAGCATGTGGACAATTTCAACAGAAAGGAGGAAACCATGAAAATGAACAAAATCTGGCTACCAGTTTTAAAAAGCCCTTTAAAATCAGGGCAATAAATAAGGAGCAACACTAAAAAAGCAGCGGAATTCCAGACAAGTATCAGTCAGGGCCAACTAATAACTCCCAACAAAGGATTACCCCAAGCTGCAATCAGCCAAGCTTTGAAGCTGCAAAGCTATTCAATGCTAATCAGGGTGACCAATCGCAACTTTCACACTTGCCTCACACAGACAAGAGTCCTTTCTCCCACCTTGGACATTCTACAGATATATAAATCTCACTGGCCTAGTTTCCAACCACTGAGGATGCCTGCTATAGATGTGGGTGAAACGTTGAGAGAGAATGCTTCTGGAACATAGCCGTACAGCTTGGAAAACTCATAGCAACCTAGTGATTCCAGCCATGAAAGCCTTTGACAATACATTGTCCATCTTTTCTTTTAATATATATCTTACTACAAATGTTCTTAAAATTTTTGCATAAAACAAAAAATCAGTTGCTTCTCAGAGATCTTCCACACAGCCCTATATCCCAGAATATCAATCCAGGAAATCCAATATCTGAGTGTGAACTCAGATAACACAGTTCAAAGCAGATATTGTGGGATTTTCTGCCTTGATATTCTGTGATACAGGGCTGTGTGGAAGGGCCCTCAGTGATAGCACTCACTTCTGGAACGCTACTAACCCTAACCCTCTACTTGCCCTCCTATGTGTGATTTAGGTAACTTTAAAAAAAGTATTTATTTGTACAAAATTTTGAAGAATAGGCAAATGTTAATGTTTCTTTAATTGTATCTTTTTTTTCTTGTAGAACGGATATGTTAATATCTTATTTATAATAGGATTTTATGTAAGTCATTAATCATGTCCTGGCCTGTTCCTGAAGAAGTATAGTATGTAAATAAATAACAGTTGGAAAATAAAACTGCTCAGGCACAGAGCTCATTAACTCTAATATTTCTTCCCCTCTCCTATAGGTATAATCTTCAGATCAACTGTTTGGCTAGGGTTCCCAAACTTTATAGCAAACATATCCGTGGTGAATGGGACTGATGTCTGGCCTGCTGCTTTTTGTGTCGGGAGTGCGGTGGGTATAATGTCTGGGATAAAGACTAATGAACGGTGGGAAACTAATCAACACAAAGTGAAGCTAAAATGCTAGAAATTCCAGAGGTGAATAAAAGGAAGGATAGGGTCACAGCTACAGATCAATTTAAGGGGGAAAGTATGCAAGAAGATTCCTGTAGGGAAGAATGTTAGGACTTGTAAACACAGGCATTAGAGATCGGTTATCTAGTTGTTAGAGAAAAATGTGAATTATCTAGAGGTGAATGCCATGGAATTTAGTTTGGTGGAAACCTATACATTCCAAATTTCCAGCAGATCTCTGTGAGTTTTCAGGATGAATAATCCTTTTTGCTCCACTGTTTTCCATTTGAATTAAAAAGTTGTCACTGCAAAGTAATCTATGTAAAACAAATAGCAGTTTCCCCCATAAATAGTCCTGAACTTTGTGCTGACTGTGTGATTCTGGGAGTTGTTTTCCAGTACATCTGTATGGCACCTGTATGGGCAAGGCTGACGCAGAGTGTCAGAAGTTGGCGATGGAGCCAGCTTTTTGGCCATGGATGACTGTGTAGTCGTCCACATACTCATATACCTCGTCTTTTTGGCCTCATCACACTAGAGAAAGCATCCACTTAAAACCTGCCTCCCTAAACTACAAACCCCAGAATTCTGCAGGAGGCAGAAACTGGATTTTAAGTGGATTTTTTCTCTAGTGTGATGAAGTGGTTACCAGTTTTTAGTCTGAAGTATACTTCGTAATTATAGGCACCAGATCCTATGTGATCTTGGACACTAAGCAAGGCCAGAGCTTGGATGGGAAACTGCCAATGGATATGTACTGTAGGTTACATTTCAGAAGAAGGAACTCTTCTGAAATGGCTAGGAACAGTATTCCTTGCCTAAGAAAACCCAATGAAATTCATGGAGGTCTCCATAAGTTGATAGTTAACTTGAACGTGGATGTGCACACACAGAGGACCAGTTAAATCAGTGTTGATGTAGTAAGTTCCCATTGTTTAAGTAATTCTGTCCTATTTTAGATTTTAAATATGGTTTCAAACCACTCACCTTTCTAAGCCAAGAAATGAATAATACGACTCCCTTGTCCATTTATTTGATATCCATAGTTTCACTTACCTATACCCCCCTCCCCAATATTCCCCCTGTGTTTGTGGGTCTCTTTGTCCTGCAGTGCCCTTCAATGGTATGCTTATAGTTGAAATTGTAAGGGTTTTTTGTGTGTTTCAGGAGCGACTTGAGAAACTGCAAGTCGCTTCAGGTGTGATAGAATTATTGGCCATCTACAAGGACGTTGCCCAGGACACACCCAGATTTTTTACCATCCTGTGGGAGGCTTCTCTCATGTCCCTGCATGGGAAGCTGGAGCTGACAAATGGGAACTCACCCTGCTGCCTTGATTCGAACGGCCAGCGCAAGGGTTTAACCCATTGTGTCACCAGAGGCTCCTAATATAAGGTTCGTCACATATGTAGGCTTGGTTGCACTGCAGAAAATATAGGCTGTCTCCTTTCTGTTCTGCCTCTTTTATGATCAAATGGCATACAATCAGTTTCAGGACAATAACATTCAATATTTATAGCACTTAGAAACAGCAGAACCCAGGGCTCAATCACGCTGCACAATTATAGCACTATTATTCCACTTTAACTGCCAAGGCTATATGCTGTGGAATCCTGCGCTTTTTATTTTGATGAGACACTAGAGCTCTCTGACTGAGAGCCCTTCTCTTTAGATGTGTTTCTATGGGTGAATGACACAATATAATTCTACATTTAAAAGCATACATGCGAGGCTGCTTATTCTAGGGATGTGGGCTCTACTGTTGAGACTCTCCTGCCCTTATCTGCGTTTGCCACATTGTGCATGAATTGCAATAACAGTAACTGTGTGCATTTACGGTACATGCATTATTCTCAGCATAATATTGCATTATTCTCAGCATCATGGCAGACAGAATGGATAAACAGTTACTTTTTGTGTTGTTGAAAGCTTTCATGGCCGGAATCACTGGGTTGCTATGAGTAATAATCCAATTACTTTTTGGATTATAATCCCCAGAATCCCAACCATCATAATTGTGCTATAATTCTGTAGTAGCATGATTGAGCCCTGGGTTCTGCTGATTTTAAGTGCTTTATATAGTGAATGCTATTGCCCTGAACCTGAATAAGTTTTGATGTTTACATGGAAAGACAGTGGCTGTTCTGTGCTAACCAGCCTCCAAAACATTTGCTTTGACAAGGGTTTTTATGTTTCATATACTTTTAAATGTTCTCATCATACTTCTTGGGTAGAGAACACAAGAGAGAGTCTTAGTATGTTCCTGCATAGCAGGCAGGTTGGACTGGGTGGACCTTGTGGTCTCTTACACGCTTTGTTTCTTTGCTTCTGTAGTCAGATAGTGTAAAATTTGCAGAACTAAATTAGATCAAACCCTGCTCATAAAAACTGATGTTTTGATCCCTAGCAATGTGAAGTTCTACACACTTCATTACATAATCCTGGATGTATTGTTTCATATTATAAGTTGACACTGAAACAATAAAATAATATATGCTGACCTAGACAAAAATTTTGGAAGGGTAATCAACACTGACCAATGGAAAAGAGCTTGCAGAGACAATGGTGGGTTTTAGGTGTTCTAGCGATCTTAAACGTGTTTATAAAGTCCCACTATTGATGGTATATTGATGGTATTGATGGTATAACCCACAGATACTAGCTAAAATATATAAAACCAGGAAAGATGTATGCTGGAAATGTGAGAGAAACGTACACTCTATAATATGTTGTGGAATTGTAAAAGAGTTAAGACTGCAGGAAGAAAATACATAATACAATTAATAGTATTTTACAATTCGAATTAGAATTTATGCCACAGCTGTATCTTCTCAACATGATAGATGTATAAGTCAATAAACCTACAACAAGAATTATTACATATATGATACAACAAAAAGGATAGCATTGGCAAAAAATGGAAAATAATTAAAGTAACTTCTATCTACGATTGACAGTTGAAATTAAGGAGCCGCAGTGGCGCAATGAGTTAAACCATTGTGCTGGCTAAACTGCTGACCTAAAGGTTGGTGGTTTGAATTCGCAAGATGGGGTGAGCTCCCATCTGTCAGCTCTAGCTTCCCATGCGGGGACATGAGAGAAGCCTCCCACAGCATGGTAACACATCCAGGCATCCCCTGGGCAACGTCTCTGCAGACAGCCAATTCTCTCACACCAGAAGCAACTTGCAGTTTCTCAAGTCGCTTCTGACACAATTAAAAAAAAAAACCCCTGAAATTAAGAGAAGCCGTGGAAACGGACAAATTAATTAGAGTAATGAGTAGCAAGATACTGAAAGAGTGGGAGAAAGTAGAAAAATATTTTAAGGAATAAGTAGTCTAAGTATACAAAAATAAGCATTGTGTATTTAAGTTTCTTTTTTTACCAAATGGAATGCAAGAAGATTTAAGAAGAACCTCTACCTAAAAGGGAGGGAAGGAAGTAGTGACTTTGTAGTTATTGCTTCATTGAAATATGTTATGTTTGTGTGGTTTGTGTGTGTGTTTTCTTCATTGTATCTTATGGCATTGTATTTTTTTTCTTCCTGAAAATCAATAAAATATTACAAAAACAAAAAGATAACACTGTTATGATCTACCTGATACTCTAAGGAGCATATCAGCTAGATCATAACATTTAGGAACTTTTCTTTCCTCCTCAGATGTGGATCCAACTCTTGTACAGTGCTGGCTTTTGGTGGCTGTTTTGCTATGCTGTTGATTCCTACTTAGTTGTTAGAAGATCTGCAGGTTTAAGGTACAACTAAATAAAATGACATTTTTAAAAAGAACAGTATATTTGGGAGGAAGTATGTGCTTTTTTGTTAATGTATCTATGTGGATATACATCTGATCTGTCCCTTTGGACATTTTTTTTGGTCTTAATGAAGCTCAGTTGGTTTTATTGCTGCTCCCTCATTTTCTCTGCTCATTGTAACTGTAATGTGTTTATGTCTTCATTGAAAATTCCTAAATGCCACTGTATTTAATTTAAACAAGACAAGCATTGCTAGATTAAACTGGAACTTCTTACAAACTCAGCTGATTCCAAACACTTCAACAAGAAAATCAGTGGCTTTATTGTTAAGTATGAGGAGGAAGACATATGTATAAAGCAGAAATAATTTATAATATGATCGGAGTAATGTCCTTATCTTTTTATCACTGTAATATATTTCCAGTACAATTGTGTTATATCACATGATGACGTGGGGTTTGGCCATCCTGCTGTGCGTGGAGGGAATTGCTATGCTGTACTACCCTTCCGTTTCTAGGTATGAATTCATTTGCTTAGCTTTTAACTTCACTTCTATAATTTCCTTGAGGTCTCTGTGAATTTTATTAAACATGGCGGATCGCAAAGGTCATCAAATTCAGTCAAGTAGATTGTAAAGGGGTCTGCCATTCAAAAGCCAGGTCCTTGTGTATTTGTTGTGTCTGAAGGGAAATGAGCTACATAGGATGGATCAAGGCATTGTTTTAAGGCTCATGTCACCATATCTGAGGCTAGACAGGATCTGAAGCCCCTTCTACACTATAATATAAAATCCATTTTATCTACTTTGACAATCTGGATTATGTGGCAGTGTAGAAGGGGCCTAAGTGAGAGATTGCCTTGGAGCACTTTCAGTTGTCTTAAATTTCATGGAAGAAAAGAGTGTGTGTGTAAATATAGAAGATGTATTGTATTAGTAGGTCTCTAGAATGTTTACAAATAAAATTGATAATGTTCTTATGCTTGGTTTTGTTTTTGAATATAGGCCATTGCAAAACTTACCCTGAGGTCTAGTTCCTAGCTGGATTGTCCCTACCTTATGGTCTTTCAAGTCACCATCCTTCCATAAGTAGGGCTATTTGCTGATATACTATCCATACTTGGATTTCTGACTGGTCTCTTAGTTAGACAGTAGACCCAATAGCAATAACTGAGCAAAGACCACTACATGTATGAAGAAGATCTTCATTTAGTAGGGCTGAAAAGAGAATTAAACTTTGTTCCATATTCCTTTCTTTTGTCAGTTGTGAAAACGGTCTGGAGCATGCGATTCCTCATTATGTCACTACGTACGTTCCACTAGTACTTGTTTTGGTGGCCAACCCAATCCTTTTCAGTAGGACAGTGACTGCTGGTAAGATTATGATGTGGAATTGGATTTTGTTGATATGAATTCACTTTAAAAATCCTGAACCATTCACAGAGTCGATCCTAGTTAAGATACCAGGAACTGGGATGTCAGGAAGGGACTGTCTTCAGAAGCACATCTGCTGCCTCGGAAGCCCTGTGGACTATGTATGGTGCAGGCAGCAGTTCCTTCAAGTGCGATTTTAATGAATTAATACAGGCAGATAGATAAAGGGGACTAAAAATATAAATCAGAAACTGTTTTACAATATATACAGTTGGACCCGCACATTTGGGAGTTCAAATTTTGCAGATTTGATTAATGTTTACTCTAGGAATTTCTAGTCCCTTCAGGGTAACTCTATGATCAGTTTCCATTGATAGTTGACTGCAGTCATGCCAGAGGACCTCAAGATTTATAGATACAATACCTCTTTGAGAATCTTTGGGTCCTCCATAGGAATTCTGTGGTCCATTTATAGTGGATTCTTAGAGAGGTGTTCTCTCAGTGGGGCTGTTTCACTTTTATGGGGGTTCTGTAACTCTTAACACCCATAAAAGTGTAGGGCATGCTATATAATTCTCTAAGTCTTTCTGTTTCAATAGCCAAAGCTCCAAATGTTTTCTTATTTCATTTCACATTGCAACATGTTAGAGAAGCAGCTGGAATCTAGAAAACAGAGGATAGCTGCCTTATCTGTTTAAGAGATAAGGATGTAGGGCTTCCATGGGGCTGCAGACATGTTAGGTGCCTGGCATGCACATTGCAAAAGAAGGTATAATGAAATCTTGAGGAGAAGCACCGTTTTGGAAAAGAGTGTCAAAATCAGAAGAGACAGACTGAAAAGATGCTGGCAGTGAGACAGAAGCCTTCTGAGCAGCTCGAGAGGAAAAAAAAGCTAAAGTTGGTGCCACTCCAAAAGTCATTAATTGCCATTCCCTGGCATGTTTCCAGGAAGAAAAGAAATAATAAATATGGCACTGGCCCATGGCACATTAGGAGTGGAGGAATTAGATAGTTTGCAGGGCACTAAAGTCAGAGATAGGAAGCTTACAGGCATGTGAACGTTACGTAACACAGACTGTGATGCAAATGGTCAGAGCTCATAGCTACAATTATGTCCTGTTTTTTTTTCTTTGAATGCAGTCTTTAGGAAGTAGCTGCTATCATTATATTGAAATGGCAAGTACTGCTGAAGTGATTTTGATTTAGGTTTCAAGTAATAATTTTGGAAGTTGGACTGTTGCTGTCTCTCCTTGTGATAAAAAGCAAGAACATTGGAGCTGGAGCTGGACAGAACCATTTGGCTCCACTGTCATACTTGATATCTCTGTGTCTATTTCATAGATAATCTGGCATGTCCAATATACTTTGTATCTGCTTTCTAGTTGCATCTTTACTGAAAGGAAGGCAAGGAATCTACACAGAGAATGAAAGACGTCTGGGGACAGAGATCAAAGTTCGGTTTTTCAAAATTATGCTGGTGGTCGTTATTTGGTAAGACAATACGTTTCACCCAAATGGAGTACTTTCTTATATAGAACGTATAGACGTTGAGCATTCCTTATCTAGATTTCTGAAATCTGAAAAAGTCCAAAATTTTCTACATTATTACAATAGTGACAGCTTTGCTTTTGGATGGTTCGGGGTGTACATAATCTTTGTTTTATACCCAAATTATTATAGATATTGTGTCTAAAATTACCTTCAGGCTGTGTGTAAAAGATATATACTGTATGAAACATAAATTAATTTAAAATTTGGGCATAGGTTCCATTCCAAGATGCATTATGCACCTATAAGCAAACAGATATTCCAAAATCATAAAAATCCAAAACTCTTCTATTTCATCGTACCGGGACTGTGGCACAGCTGTCTGAGTATCAGCTGCATTAAGATCACTTCTGACCACAAGATCATGAGTTTGAAGCCAGCCTGGGTTGGAATGAGCTTCTGACCAATTGTGTAGCTTGTTGTCAATCTTTGCAACCCGAAAGACAGTTGCATCTGTCAAGTAGGAAAATTAGGTACCACCTATGTGCGGGGAGGCTAATTTAACAAAATTTACGAAGCCATAAGAAAGACTCCAGCAAAGCACTCCAGCAAAAGCATGGGGGGAATGCAGAAGTACTTCATCAGTGTTGCAGATGGACGATGAAAGCGACAGCTCCCCTGGCGGCCAGAAAAAAGTTAAATAGCCTTTGACTGTTTGTCTATATCTGTTGTGTGTCTTTGGCATTGAATGTTTGCTATATATGTGTACATTGTAATCCGCCCTGAGTCCCTTGCGGGGTGAGAAGGCTGGAATATAAATACTGTAAATAAATAAAACTGTAAATAAATAAATAATAGTCACACTTCCCCTAAGTCAAACCCTAAAGCACCAAAATAGCACTCATACCCTTAGTTCACTTACCTGGGTGAGTGAAATAAGGGTGTGACTTGTTATGCGGGGAATGACAAAAAACAATTTTTGCCTTCCCCAAAATGAGGTGTGAGTATTATGCTGTGAATTATGCGATGAAACATGATGTTTCCTTATGATCATGTACTAGTTGTCCTTCCTGTACCACAGCATAGCATGACATGTACACAAATGATGGTATTTTTATTCCATGGATCACAATCATTCAGAAGAATCAAATATTAAAGTTAGCCTTTTGATTGATTTCCCTTGCTTCAGGCTTTGTGAAGCAATTCTAAGCCAAGGAGAATCTCATCTTTCCATTACAATAATTTCATATTGCTTACCATGAAATTTAGCATGAAAGAAACATGTATTTGTTTGCAGGAATATTATTTTCGCTATGCTTTTAAGAACATTGGATGTATATAAAGCAAATTTACTTCTTATGCCTGTTACAGTTGGTCATCAAATATTATCAACGAGGGCCTCTTGTTCTACTTGGAAATGCAGCCAGATATCAATGGAAGCCTTTTGAAAAATGTCCGAAGCGCTGCACTGATCACGTGGATCATAATGGTAAGGGACATCCTGAATTCTAGGAGATCTGAAATTGCTACACAGACCTTTCCCAATGGCAAGATTTCCTATGTAATCATATCTACAGCAAAACCACTTTCTTCAGTGATGGTTGAAACTGATGTAAATGGTCAATGAAGATGTGCCCTAAGGTTTCATTGCCATCATTAAAAAACATTTTTGTGTTACAGGCAGTTTTTAGACCTATACAAACTTGAGGTCTTGCATAAATTTGCCTGACACTCTTGGTGCCCTCTGCCAATTTCTGTTACTATCTTTTTGGATTACATTTTATTACCTCCTTTTTTATAATTTAGTTATGATTTTAATATATGAATGGTATATTTAATTGTAATTTATTTTCCTGAAAAATAAAGTGATTCCCACTGCCCAAATCTCCACTGAATTCAGGGCCATATTGAGACTCATCAGTATTTTTTTTGGTGATACGATATATCCCATCTTTCTGTTGCATAGGGAGTACTGAACCCAATGCAAGGCTTTCTCTTCACATTGGCCTTTTATGGCTGGACTGGCTGGAAGTTGGATCTGCAGTGGCGAAAGAGTGAAATACCCTGGGAGTCCATGTCCACGTCAACAGCGGCTGAGAATGCTTATGGCTTGCCTGGCGAAAACTCTGTAAACTTCCATGACTCAAAGAAAACATCTGTAGTACCAAATCAAACGGATGAAGCCTTAAGCATGCTGTCTGAAGGTAACCTTGGCAGCGACGACAGGCTTTCTAGAAATTCCCCTGTCTACCAGGGCTGGTAAATCTCAGGGATGTTCATACAGGCATACTCCTCATTTAAATACCTGTATGTGTGTCTTATTGATTTGAAAATATTTTTGTTGTTTGTATATCATGTTAAACACTGCCAGTTTATCTATGCTGCTATCGACAAGTATACAGCACTGCAGGGATGTCTGTGAATTGTGATTTAGGCTGTGACAGAGAACTTATTCTTCTTTATTCCTTTATATCATTCAGTAGGTCTACCAATAGTACATCACTTTTTTATCACAGTCTTCCAACTAGTTTGCCAGACCCTTTCCCAGTTTTTCCACACTGTTTAATGATGAGTCAACACACAGGTAAAGACCACTGATCTAATTGTCCTGTTCTAGTTCAAACTAACAATACTATTTGTCAGAGCAAAAAATGAGAGGTAACTTTGAAATAGAAGTGCACAATGGTTGTTTCCAGGTTGTTTCTCTGATGCATAGGATCTTTTAGCATTGGTTACTTTTTAATAGAGATTGTTTTAAATGACTGTTATAATTTGTAATTGCAGTAAATAATAATTTGTTTAATAAACATATTATGGAATCATCTTACTGTAGTAGCTTTCAACATTAATGAAAATAAAGCTGTAAATGTGATGAGGTATTGTATTGCCAATACCCACGGAGTTCTGCGGTCTTACGACCTCCCCTTTGTAGCATGTGAAAGAGCTTGCTTGCTTGTGCATGTTGGTATTGATTCATCCTTCTACAGAGAAACATCTTTTAGTTCCATCCTTCCTGCTCCCTGCTTTCGACATGCTGTAATTCTTTCCTGAGACATGTTTTCCTCTGGGATGCTTTGCATGGAGAGGTGTGCATGAGACTGTGATGCAGCATGTGGTGGTGGCTATTGGTGCAGATGGCATCTGTGATGGCGTCTCAACTATTCAATAATAGAGGATAGGGCTGGCATTTCAAAAAAGGCAATTGATAATCAACAATGATATGTGATTGGACACAGAGAGCTGGGTTAATTAAAGGCCACTTACCTAGAATCTATTTATGCAATGAACCTGGAAGCAGCAGCAGGAGGAAGCAACTTGATACAGTTTCAGCTGTCACCCTTTGACTACCTCCTCAGCCTTCCCTGGGTGGAACACCTGAGCCCCAGGACCAATCCAGCTAACAGCTACTAGAAGGTGACCTAGGGAATTCCCACCCAAGTCCCAGGACTTTACAAATGAAAGCAAACCCTTCAGGTATGCCTCAAGGAACAACTCCTTCTCTGGATCCCAGCACCCAGATTTACAATACAGTGGTCAGGGGGCAATATATTATTTGTATTCAGTTATTTTGGAGAAAGCAGATGCTGACTTCATTCCCTAGCATTTCTAATAAAATGATCAGAATTAACAGGAGAATCCCATCGAGAACTTGAAAATTGCTGACAAGAGTCTAAAATACTCTTATCATTAGGGAGACTAGAGTAGCAGATTTAGAGTGTTACAAATGTTCATTACAGTTCATTGTTTAATTCATTGATGGTGTATATTTACTGGCAGAAGTGGTGTGGTGCTCATGGAATTTTCTCCCTCACCTGCCAAAATAACGTGACAGGATTTGCATAGTGTGGATATTGAGCTGCGTGGGTGGTTTTCTTTACTGCAGTGCCTTATGCATCAAAATCTTTGTTGCATCACTAGATGGGCAAATGGCTGGAAACTGTTGGATCCCCCTCACACCAATTTCTGTTTACTTAGGCAAAAATGTTGTCTTCTGGCTGAAAAAATAAAATTATGCACATGCACTAAAGTGCCTTAAAACAACAACAACACGAAATCCAGCATATATATCTCATTTGCTGTCATACTGTTTTTGTGTCAGTAAAATAATAATAATAATAATAATAATAATAATAATAATAATAATAATAACAACTTAATTTTTGTACCCCTCCTCCATCTCCCTGAAGGGACTCGGGGTAGCTTATATATGACAGGGAGCCTAAAAGCAATGCATAAAATCAACAGTACACTACAAAAAAGTGAAACCAATAGCATATAAAAACAACAATTTAAAACTCAGAACAGTGCCCAATAACCTATGGTGACAACTACTATAAGATATAGCCAAACTGCAAACAAGACAAGGGAATGGGATAGTGCAAACTGCACCTAAGGAACATGGGCATGGGATGAAAGTGCAGTGTTGTGTCATTAATTGCGCACCACTGGGGCTAGACATTCTCAAAGGCGTGTTTAAACATCCAAGTCTTCAAATCCCTATAGAAGGAGGTCAGTGTGGGGGACTGCCTAATCTCCCTGGGGAGGGTGTTCCAAAGCCGGGGGCCACCACTGAGAAGGCCCTCCGCTGTTCCCCACCAATAACGCTTCTGATGATGACAGGACTGCGAGGACACCTTTACCCCCCATTGTTTAAATTGATAGTTTATTCCTTAACTACACAAAATTGTTGAAGCCTCTTCACATCTATTTCTATTTACATAAGCAAAGATGCTATCCTGTGGGTTCAACTTTCAAACTCTTCAAAGCAGGAAGTGTCATATGTGAAATACCTATCAACCAGCAAAGTGATCCGCATCCTTAATATTTAAATAAGCAAAACATTTGCCACTGAGGTGGTAATTGATCATCTCAAGCTGCCGGCTTTTCTAAAGCCATGGTTTGGAAACTGTATGAGCTACTTCTGGGAGTAAGTTTAAACTGCAAAATCCCTTTGAAACATAATTCCTAAGGAAAAAGAGGTCAGGGTGGGAGTAGGTATGATGGCAGCCAGATCTAAAGCAGAAACCTTGACATTTCTGTATAGGGAACAAGCTGTGCATGATTTTAAACTCTAAATGCACATGTTGTTCATTGTTTTACTACTTGAATTTTAAAACCATATAATAAATGTTCTCTGAGCAGCAGACGATAAACTTAGAATGTCTGCTAAAAGATAACAGTAAAACAATGGCAGTGAAACAGCATTTGATAAAACAAGTATATAAAAACAACATGAAACTGCTTAAAACCACATCAGTTGGTGGTGTACATTTAACTTAGATAGAGAAAATTGTTACTTCTGGTCAGAGTCCATCAGAGAAAATGACTTAAAGCAGTTCTAGAGTTTTAAAGCATAGCTTTATCTTTCCCCCTTGCCAGTGTTCGTTTCTCTGTGCTCTATTTGGAAACCTCTCAAAACAGCTCTCTCACTATTGTCTGAGCATTAAATGGAAACCCCAATTCTGCCTTTGACCCTGGCTCAGTTATGCTTATTTACATCCTCAGGCCCAATGGCAGTTTGTCAGTGACTAGTATCTAAATCCAGATGTGGAATAAAGTCCCAGAAGTAAATAGCCAAACACTAAAAACTCAACTTTGGTCAGATCAGGCAAGAACTGGCAGTCAAATTCCTAGTTTTCATAACATTCCTGGCCTGTCTAGAGCCTTCAAATAATTGCTAATCAAGGTGGTTGGCAACCAAAAATCTATTCTCTCCCTTTCTGAATATACCTCATAGGTCAAAACAGACATAAGTTGGCACCCTGTAGTGATTTGGGAGGCTGTGTGCAGAAGTCATACCCAGCCAATAGTGGCATAAGTTGATTTGAGCCTTTAGGACCACTGTTTGTGCAAGTAGCCTGTGAATGTACTTTGCTGTTATGCATTGCCTTTGCTCTTTGGAGTTCCACAATGAGAAGTCAAACAAGAGCATTGATCGCTGAACCACATAAGTTGTGTTGCAGTGGTACATGTTGAGCACCCCTTATTAAATGTGTTTTGTTATACCTGTTTTTGCATATATGTACATAATTAAGTATCTTGGAGATGGGAACCAAGTCTAAATACAAAAATCATGTTTCATATCCATCTTATACACGCAGCCTGAAGATAATGTTATACACAACATTGTTATTATTATTATTATTATTATTATTATTATTATTATTATTATTATTATTCCTTTATTTGTACCCTGCTAGCATCTCCCGCAGGACTCGATGCGGCTTACACAGGCCAAAGCCTCAAAACACAGTACAACAAAACACAGTATAACAAAACAATACCTAAAGCAAATTAAAAACAGTTAAGCAGAATAAACAACAGCAATAACAATACGTTAAAACTGGGCCGGCCAGAGTAGTGGGTACAAGATTAAAAGTGCTGAAATGGCAGGAGGAATGTAGGATTATAAAGTAAGTGCAGTGTGCGGTGTGCAGTGATCTTAGTTCTACTAAAGTGCTTCTACGACTTGGTATTGGGGTTCCTAATCTGAGAAGGCACATCGGAAAAGCCAGGTTTTCAAATTCTTTCTGAAGACTGCCAATGTAGGGGCCTGTCTAAGATCTTTTGGGAGGGTGTTCCAAAGTTGGGGGGCCACCACAGAAAAGGCCCTGTCTCGCGTCCCCACCAAGCGCGCTTGCAACGCGGGCGGGATCACGAGCAGGACCTCTCCAGATGACCTAAGTGAGCATGTGGGTTCGTAGACGGAGATGCGGTCACGCAGGTAGGGTGGTCCCAAACCGTTCAGGGCTTTGTAGGTAAGCACCTGCACCTTAAATTGGGCTCGGAAAATAAATGGCAGCCAGTGGAGCTCCTTAAACAGGAGGGTTGACCTCTCTCTGTAATGAGCCCCGGTTAGCATCCTGGCTGCTGCCCGTTGGACCAGTTGGAATTTACGAGCCGTTTTCAAGGGTAGCCCTACGTAGAGTGCATTGCAGTAATCCAATCTAGAGGTGACCAAGGCATGGACCACCCCGGCCAGATCAGCCTTTGCGAGGTACGGTCGCAGCTGGCGCACAAGTCTCAGTTGTGCAAAAGCCCTCCCGGACACCGTTGACGCCTGAGCCTCAAGCGTGAGCGATGAGTCCAAGAGGACTCCCAAGCTGCGGACCTGTGGCTTCAGGGGGAGTGTAACCCCGTCCAACACAGGTAGCCACCCTATACCCCGTTCTGGTTTGCGATCCACCAGGAGGACCTCTGTCTT